GCTCTCCTGCTAAGAATCAAGTAATGTCACAGTACAAAAAGTGCCTTATATTACTTATTTATGTCCCTCCAGGAAATAAACTTTCTGATTCATGAATTATAAATATCTGAAAAGAAACATACTGTTGTTTTGTCTACATTAATGCTGTAGCTGTAGCTAAATTGTGTGTGTAGCTAAATTACAAGTAAAACACAAAATATAGTAAATAGGTCACAAAAACATTCGTTGTTAACCCTGATACTTAGTTAACTTAGTCTTAAATTTCACTCTGGGTGACAAAAACGATGTAAATGTCATTCTTTTGCATGAATGAGCAAATGTAGACTGAGAGGTTTTAGTTGTTCTGTGAATGTCATTTTGCAAAATAATTCATTGTTATAACATTGTAGCATCTACCACAAGTCCAAGTAGAGTCCTGAGTCATTTCATTTAGTCAAGCAAGTCACAAATCCTTAAATGTGCAACTCCAGTCAAAATCATGTAACTTTAGTCCTCCACCTCTGCTATCTCCTCAGACACACCTCTTTATCATTTATTTCTGCTCTCCCTTTCTCTGTGAAGAAGCTCATCAAAACACTACTGTCAAACTCAGCTCAGAGTGTCTGTGGATGGCTGTGTGTGGGTCCTTGACGGGGATGCTGTATCTGAATGGCGACTGTCAGTTGCATAGGTGTGCACAGTAGAGATATGTTGTTTTTAAGCCCTGAATTTTGGAAACGTCTCAGATGCCAGATAGACATGTTGTGGTACCTCAGAGTCAAGCGGATCATGCTCAGCAGTGATGTCACATCGCCAACTCTATGCGTCTCTGTCAAAACAGAAAATAATGTTACCATGGAGCTGAGTAACTGACAAGCGTATATTACCTGAGAGAGAGAGACAGAAAAAGAGACCGCACAAGTTGCTACAATAAAAAAAATTGGTAACACTTTATTTCGATAGTCCACTTTAGACATTATATTAACAGTAAGTAACTTTGCAACTACATGTCAACTAGCAGTTAGTAGAGTATTAGTAGACTGTCTGCTTAATATCTTCTAACTCTTTCTTTGTCAATATTCTACTAACCCTAAACCTACCCTAAGTCTACTCTGAGAGTTAGTAGACATGTAGTTGCAAAGTAATGAGAATTAGTTGACATGTAGTTAGAAAGTTACTTATAGTTAGTAGAATGTCTAAAGTGGACTATCGAAATAAAGTGTAACCAAAAAATTAAATGAAATAAACTAGAGCTAGCACTTTTCTGTTGAAAACAATTATCATCATGTTCAAATGTACACGACCTGTCAGATTTCAACTCTAATTTATAACAATTATATATTATAAAATATATATTCACTATAATTATGCATACACATATTTTCAATAAACACAAGTTACTTAGTTTGTCTATTTATGCTCCATCGCCCAACAGACAGTAGTGGCCTTACTGAATGAATTAGTGTTTTTTAACAAATCATTTGAGTGCATGATTCAACTGCTGATAAACATGTGTCACCACAAATCGGTTGTGTGAATGATTCAACATTTTGGAACGAATCGGTTGAATTAATGAATCAGTGACTCACTCATAAAGTCACTTGTCACCACCGACAGGCGTTACGATGTAACCTGCAGAAACAGTCACTGCATGTATAATTCATCTGAACGAGCGAACTCAACTCAAGTGGAGCGATGTAAAGAGCAAACCAACAAATGTCTTACTTAAAGGACTATTAAGGTAGTAAAGGTGTTTTTCTCTTTCAAAAAATAAGTGCCTAACACCCCTGACCACGTTTCTACACTTGATAGAATGATGTTCTTTATGCCGTAATGATGATCGTTATGCCTTATGTGTCAAAATCTGTAAACAACTTTGTGAATCCCCTACAATGAGAGAGAGGTTAATTATAAATTCATGTTCATCCTCAGTCGGTCTGTAAGTGTTTATGTCCCTCCGCTCCACAAGCAGTCAGAGTGATTCGTGCCGAGCAGTAATAGACAGAATTGCTCCTCTCACACAGGTTAAACTGCTCTTGCCCGATCTGTTCAGATCAATAAACCTATTTTAAGGCACCGTCAGACTACAAGCCTGATTTGTTGATTTACTGTATCTGTGTCTATAGCATCCCATGACAAAACATGCAAACATCTGACAGGGATGCACACAGAGATATTCTGATCGACACTGCTAACCCCTTATTTTATGTTGCCCCAGACAAACAATAAAATGGCTGTTAAATAAATACCCTACAGTTTTTTTGTCTACGATATACCTTCAGAAGATCATAACCTACAATAAAAGTGAATAAAAATTTATAAAAACTATTTTCTTTTGTAGCCTGACATAAAATAAGAGACTTTGAGTTTGAACTGAGGATCAATTCAAATTATGACCAATTCAAGCTATTTTTCAATCATAATCCCATATCTATCTTACCATACATGATCTAATATCTGCATTTCAATCATACTGATCTATCCAGCAATCTATCACTGATAGATGTATTTCAACCTCTCCCATAATCACATATCTATCCATCCAGTGGATGGATGGCATGGCATTCCTCACTGGATATCTGAGATAGATAGACAGACAGACAGACAGACAGACTCTATGAATCCTATATTGAAAGCATTTTTCCCACAAAAGGTATGGCCATATCCTTGGAGGCTCAGCGCAAGCTAATTAACTGCAATTAGTGTTTGTAACGGGTAATTATATTACAGTTAATTATCCTGTTACTAGATGCTGATTATTTAATACAGGGGTGTGCTCAGCATCTGCTGCCAATGAGGGATGATTACACATTATCGAGGGTCGCGTGCCATCAAATTCTGGAACGAACAGATGAGCTATGAAGAAATGAACTATGGGCCACAGAAGGTTAATTTGATCCAGCGCACGAAGAAGTTCTCGACTACGGCAAGATGTGTGTGGATTTCATTGCACCTCAGCTGCATGTGTGTGTGTGTGTGTACCCCTTATTTTATGTTGCCCCAGACAAACAATACAATGGCTGTTAAATAAATACCCTACAGTTTTTTTGTCTACGATATACCTTCAGAAGATCATAACCTACAATAAAAGTGAACAAAAATTTATAAAAACTATTTTCTTTTGTAGCCTGACATAAAATAAGAGACTTTGAGTTTGAACTGAGGATCAATTCAAATTATGACCAATTCAAGCTATTTTTCAATCATAATCCCATATCTATCTTACCATACATGATCTAATATCTGTATTTCAATCATACTGATCTATCCATCAATCTATCACTGATAGATGTATTTCAACCTCTCCCATAATCACATATCTATCCATCCAGTGGATGGATGGCATGGCATTCCTCACTGGATATCTGAGATAGATAGACAGACAGACAGACAGACAGACAGACTCTATGAATCCTATATTGAAAGCATTTTTCCCACAAAAGGTATGGCCATATCCTTGGAGGCTCAGCGCAAGCTAATTAACTGCAATTAGTGTTTGTAACGGGTAATTATATTACAGTTAATTATCCTGTTACTAGATGCTGATTATTTAATACAGGGGTGTGCTCAGCATCTGCTGCCAATGAGGGATGATTACACATTATCGAGGGTCGCGTGCCATCAAATTCTGGAACGAACAGATGAGCTATGAAGAAATGAACTATGGGCCACAGAAGGTTAATTTGATCCAGCGCACGAAGAAGTTCTCGACTACGGCAAGATGTGTGTGGATTTCATTGCACCTCAGCTGCATGTGTGTGTGTGTGTGTGTAAGTGGGTGCGTGAGTGCATGGGTGTTGACATTGACGTTATCTTTGTGAATGATGGGGTTCATAACTTCTAACCTGTTTTCCTTATCTGATGAATCATCATCCAGCAGCGAGCTTTCAGAGACCCTCTGAGCAATTACACTGTGCGGAGAAAATGCATTGCACCAGGTTTGGCTGTAGCCTACTATTTGTGTCTACATTACAAAAATAAGTAAATAAATAACATGCCACTTTATTATTTTTTATAAATACTGTATATAAATATTTACACATGCATGACAGATCGATTCATCCATTCATCTAGCTAGTCAAATGTGTATACATGTTTATATTGATAAAAATGATTAAAAAAACAATATGGTGTTATTTACTATTTTTTGTAATTTTTAACTATGATAGATGATAGAACTATGATAATGATAGAACAAGCAAATGAACAGACAGATATATAGACAGATAGACAGACAGATAGATAGATAGATAGATAGATAGATAGATAGATAGATAGATAGATAGATAGATAGATAGATAGATAGATAGATAGATAGATAGATAGATAGAACAAAGGAACGACAGATAGATAAAATGATAGCATGAGCGACCGATCGATATAGATCCAGAGAAAGACAGATAGATCCAGAGAAAGACAGATAGATCGACAACTTCTGTCAACATCTCCACAACTTCAATTCTCACTCTTTCTTTTGCCACTATAGAAAAATAATCACCTGAACAAACAGTAGTGACAGTTTCACCATCATCCCTCGAGGGGCATTTTCTTGTCGTCTTTTCTCCCGGTTCACAATATATCATCCTCCCTGAGGCCAAAACGCGAGACAGAAGCATCAGCTCCTCTGTGCTCATTTGCCCATGTGTTATTTTGCAATGTGCTGACCAAGGACGCTTACTCCCAGAGCCCTGAGATACAGTACAGAGGTGTGTGGGAGGGGAGACAGACATCATATGAACGATAAAACCAATACCACATGAACCCTGACAGAAAGCAGCCCGATTCCTCATCAAACCCTCGATACATTCTCCGCTTGAAGTTGAACGGCATTGCAGTCATTTTGTTTAGAGATTTGATGATACTTTTCTTTGCTTACTATAATTGCTTCATGAGCCTGTAGTCGTTTATGTTACTGATAATAACCAAAGACGGTCATAAAGGGAACTATCTGTTCGTAAGTTAATAATGTGTTTCATTCCACTTGATATGTGTGAATTAACTCTTTGTCATTCTCTCTCAAGCTCCGTTCTCCCCTGCCGGCTTGGAGAATCATGTAAAGTTTGACGCGTATGGCGACGGAATGGGCCGCTACAACATCTTCAACTACCAGCGTGTGCCAGGCAGCGACAAGTTCACTTACATTCAAGTTGGAGAGTGGGCAGAGAGTCTTACCCTAAATGAGGGCTTGATCGGCTGGCCGAGGGGAGTGGACGTACCCACGTCTCAGTGCAGTGACCCTTGCGCTCCTAACGAGATGAAGAAGATGCAAGCCGGCGAATACTGTTGCTGGATATGTACTCCCTGCGAGCCCTACGAATACCTGCCAGACGAGTTCACATGCATGCCCTGCGCGCCTGGCCAATGGCCCCGTCCCGACCTGACCGGATGCTACGACCTTCCTGAGGACTACATCATGTGGGAGGACGCTTGGGCCATTGGACCCATCTCGATTGCATGTGTTGGTTTCATATGTACCTTAATGGTCTTCGTAGTTTTCATTCGCCACAACGACACGCCACTGATCAAAGCATCCGGTCGTGAGCTGTGCTACATCCTGTTGTTGGGTGTCTTCATGTCCTACATCATGACTTTCATATTCATTGCAAAACCTTCGCCTATCGTGTGCACG